CCAGAGAAGATCTTTGTCTCAGCCCCTAGAGAACTTCGAGTTCTGTTAGAGGGTTTTGATCCTCCTGGAACCCTAAAATCATACCACCTGACTCATTTATTTAAGTTCCCCATCCACTTGTTTGGGAGATTGCAGGCCTGATCAGTCTGCAATAACTAAGGGATAATATTAACGCAATAGTTTGCCATTTATTCAAAAGTATGGTCTGACATTGGATAACTTACTGATGCATTCTAAATGTCGGTTTTCCAGTCAGTAAAAGGAAAATAAGAACGGGGGCCTACCAGTGGGTTATCAGGAAGCTAAGTACGCACATGTGTGCCATGCTTGGCAGAGGGATTGCCCTTTGGTAGCTGCTCAAGAAATATTGGCTCCCTGTTTACACTGTCCCTGCAGGGAGGACCATCAGAGTACACTAAACAGTGCCTCTTTAACTGAGCACCTACTTATGCTGACCCTTGTTAGGCACTCTATTACTTTGAAATCTCATAATAATTCTGCTATTTTATTCCCATATGAGGCCCTCAAAAGATAAGATCGTAGCAAGCCACATTGGCAGCGTGTAGGGAAGGGTTGTGTGTTTGTTTTCTTTTCTTTTTCTTAATTTTGAGATAGGGTCTTGCTAAGTTGCCCAGGCTACACTAACACTTGCTACCCTCCTGCCTCCACCTCCCAGAGTATTGGGATTGCAGGCATGCACCACCAGCTGCTATGGGCTATGTGTTCTTGACTGCCCTGACCGCCCTGCCCTGTCCACAGGTATACGGACTTCACTGGGGAATGGCATGTGTGGATTTCCAAAGTCTCCCTCCTGTGGCAGATATTAACTGATGTTTGGTTTTTACGGCACAAGGAAATCTGCTTCTACAGGCTTTCATCATGTAAAACTAGAAATGGCTTTCTTGGGGCAGAGTAGTTTCTTCTGGCTGTCTGGACGTAATACTAAGCAGACAGACTCTTCGATGTTCACTGCAGCACTGCCATTTGTTGGTGAAAGTTCCAGATAAAAGGAAGAAGCGGAATATAGTGCCTGGTCTGGGCCTGGCCTGGAGTTGGTGCTCGATAAACAATTGTGCAATGAATGAACTGGGCAAAGTTACTGCTCTCCTGCTGAGTGACGCCCCTCCCGCTACCCTCCCGATCTTATCCTGGTCAGGATAACATGCTCGGCTTTGTCCCAGGATCCTTCATAGGTGTTTGCGGGAGCTGATGGCATTCAGGGACCCAGACAGATGCCAGGTAAAGGAGAGAGAAGGAGAGAAGCAGCAAACTTGGGAGCTGACAGCAAGGATCTCACCTATGTATGTCAGGGTGGCCCTGAACTCACTATGTAGTCCAGGCTGACCTCTCATTTGTGGCAATCCTCCTGCCTCCGTCTCCTGGGTGCTGGGATTATAGATGTGCGCTGTCACACCTGGCCTCTGGTCTGGTTTTAAATGCAAGTTTTTACAGCAGTTTTCTCTTGCTTTGCATTCCTGCTTTACCTGAAGAACAGAAGTGTTTCAGAGCAGCAGTCCCAGGAGGTGGCAGTCAGGCCTGCCCAAACCTTTGAAACTATTCACTTGAGATGTGTGACTGGGACCAAGTCCACCTGGCAGTAACCCAGGATGTTCTCTTGAAAACTAGAGAGGAGATAGAAGGAATAAAATAGCTGACAAACTCAGTTTACGAGGTCCAAGGTGAGATTTTGGAGTTCGAAATGTAGCGCTTCCAGCTTATCTTCAAGGGTTCGTCAGCCTTGGCAGGTTCCAGGCTGCAGAGGATCTTCTCAGGGACTGCAGATCCAGGGCAGCTGTGGACAGAGAGAAGGGGCAGTCACATGCCGGAAGGTTAATTCAGAACAGACGGCACAGCACAGAACGGCAGGCACCCAGAGGGCAAGGGTGACAAAGGAAAATAATAAATATGAGCAACAACTTAACAGTGAAAATCCCTGTTGAAAGGTAGAGGCACTTGAAAAGAAGGACGGAACCAGAAAGATCTATGTGGGTTCCATATAAGCAATATAGTCTCCCTGGAAGTGAAAGGGAAGCCCTGGCCGGTCCCACAGGCAGGGCTGCTCCAGGCGGCGGGCTCAGGCCTTAGACCTTAGTTTGCATACCTGGCTCTGCACGCAGTTCCCAGCCTGGCTTCTCTTCGAGCCTCAGGGCTTCATAGAAAGGCAAGAGAGAAAAGAAGGCTTCTCACATCCGCGCAGTTCTGGTGCCCAGCGCACAGCCAGACCAGCAGAGAGTGCTGGGCCTTCCAGAGGAGCTCCCGGCATAAACACAAGGTGGGATAAGACACAAAATAAACACGGCCACACTGGCTAGAATGAAACCTTTCATTTTCAGAGGAGAGTGCAGCCAGGGAAGGGGATGCTGGGCGTTTGGCAAAGACAGCAAACTCTGAAACCACAGGCTCCGTAGCCTGCCCTGGAGTGGGCCATGGCTATCACAACCTCTCCACCTGGACAGGGAGCAGCAGTGTTCTGACCAGGTCTCTCTGGAGGATATTCAACCAGGAATGTAAATCGAGAGTACAGGGGTCCCGGGCACTTGCCCAGCGTGCGTGAGGCCCTGGTTCCATCCCAAGGGCAGGGTGGACATAACACATGGGCCCTGTTCTGTTTCCTGGGCTGGGGGCAGGAGGGAGACACACAGAAGGGTTTCCCAGGTAGCCAGTGCTTCGGTGCTCAGCCTGTGCTTCGCAGAGGACTGGCTACGGTCTGAAAGTTAGTGTCACCCCCAAATTCATGTATTGAAGTGTAGCCCTCGAGGTGAGAGTACAAGGAGGCAGGGCTTTGGGGGGATGATTAGATCATGAGTGTCCCACCTTCAGAAATGGGGTTAGTGTCATGTTATTACAAAGGGGGCCCCAAGCAGAGTTTGTGCCCTTTTACCTGGGGAGGACACAGCAAGCTGCCATCGATGAACCAGGAAAGGCACGTACCAGACACCAAACCAACCAGCGCCTTGATCTGGACGGCCAGCCTCTGGAACTGTGAAAAGCGACTTTTCTGATGGTTATTAGCCACCCAGCCTATATAGCAGCCCAAATGGACCCAGAGAGACCGCCAGCCTCCCTTTGCCGTTCTGGGGGACAGCATTTCTGTTCATGGGCTGGAGCTTTCGGGGCGCCCTTGCTCCTGCACTGAGTGAGCTCTGCTAGGTAAAATGTGGACAAGAAAAATTCTGGGGCGTGACCCGGCTTGGTGCACACCGGACTCGCGCAGGGCTGCCTCCTGCAAACCTCCTTCCAGTAAGAACACAACGCACCTGATAGGAGCTTAGCAGGCCTTAGGCAAGCAGGTCCCTAGAATCCCTCCGACTGAGCCTCCTTCCCAGAGGCTCTAACGCCACCTGAGCCAGGGTCTGTGACTGTCTCCTTAAACTGCGTCTTCACCGGAAACAGGCTTAAAGTTAGGTCCCTGTCCGTGTGCTCTTAAACCCCAGCAGCGTTATCTTCCAACGCACTGGACTCCTCCGATGGAGCACTTAGTCAGGCCAAGTGTAGGAAGCCCATGTCCTGGCCGCACTGGCTCTGGTTTCTGCGTGTCCGGGAGGATCGCGACCTCTTGCGGGCTTTGAAATGGGGCAGTCCGAGGCTTGGATCTTCCTTCCCTCCGCCGCTGTCACTGGGTGACTCGGAGCCTCGGTCTCCCCGGTTGCGGAATGAGGACGGTCGGGAGTGGCCCCGCGCAGGGTGGGCTCCGGGTCCCGGCGACGGCCGGAGGATGCCCGCGCTCGTCCTCGGCGTCGCGCCCGGCCTCCTCGGGGAGCCGCGCGGCTTGGGCGCGCTCCCAGGCGCATTCCTGGCCGGGCAGCCCCTCCTCCGTCGGC